GGATGTGTATTTAGCAGGGATGGTAGATATGATAGGGATATAGAACGACGAGTAAATGCAGGGAATGGAGTGAATGGGGCACTACACTCTATTATGAAGAACCAGAATTTGTCAAAACAGGCACGTATGGTAATTCATAATGCTGTGTTAGTCCCTACTTTAATGTATGGTAGTGAAAGCTGGGTGTGGCAGAAGAAGCACGAAAGTAGAATAAATGCTGTAGAAATGCGGTCTTTAAGGAATATGCTAGGGTGTAATCTGAATGACAGGGTGAGAAATTGCGTGATAAGAGATAAATGTGGTATGCAAGATGATGTTGTGACCAGGATTAAGAAAGGAATGCTTCGGTGGTTTGGTCACGTAGAAAGAATGAATGAGGAAAGAGTGACAAAGCAAATTTATATGGCAGATGTGAATGGCCGAGTCGGGAAGGGACGCCCTAGGAGAAAGTTTATCGACCAAATTGGCGATATTTTGAAAATGGGCCACGTTAGAAGTACCCTTAACCGACGAGCATGTATGCGTAGATATATGGATGTAAAGGAGGCGAAAGAGGTATGTCAGGATCGTGCCAAATGGAAGTCCGTAGTCTCTGCCTACCCCTCTGGGTGACAGGCGTGAGTGTTATATATATATATATATATATATATATATATTTATATATATTATTTTATTTTAAACTTCGACTGCGGTCTGTGGGACCGTACGTCCACGTATAAAATTCATGACGTATTTTTTTAGGTAATTTTCATTCAAAATGTCAATAAATAGTACTCCAAGTGCATCTACGTGAAAAAGAAGGTCAGGGTCACCGCTGTAATATTTGTCGAGTCGATGATTCTTCTTGCGAAAAAGAACTGTATGATATACTTTAGAGTCGGATCAGTCAGATAATGAAGAAACTATTGGGTATTGTTTGATATCTGAAGCTGATTTTACCCTATGTGACTATGAACACTATGAATAAAATACCGTTGTCTCTACCATAGACGATAATATTATTAGGAGTATCAGTTCCAATAGTGATAGCTCAGATGACAATGTGCCCCTTTTAGAACCGCAAATACGGTGACCTAATTATTACTGCGGGAAAAACCGCTACAAGTGGTCCAGTAATCCATCTTTCAGCAGAAGCAGAACTCTTCAGTACAGTTGTAGTTACAACCAGATCCGTTGTACCCTTATCTGAGGAAGACAGAAATAATCCACTTAGTATTTGGAATAAACTTTTTGACAAACTTATGCGACAGACTTTGACATGGTTAAATGTAAAAATGACTGAATGCAAAGTAAAATTCAAGCGTCAAAATAGATCTGAACCAAAAGAATTAGATGTATTTGATATAATGATTTTTTGGAATTATTATACTATTCAGCCGTCTTGAAATCTAATCATGAAAGTTCTAGTCACATTTTTGCTACAGATAGAAAGAACTGAGAGATATTCAGGTACGGCATTTCGGAAACTAAATTTTTGATTCTTCAATTGTAAACAGGTTATAGGTTTACAGTGTTCAAAACCCTTGTGCAAGGATTGCCAATAATTTGATGATACATATTGAACCATTGTCAGAATTTTTAGTGTAGCCTTAGATTTATAGAAAAAATGTTAATTTCTCTTAAAAGTTTAACTAATTAAAATTTTCGTTTCTTAAACCGATCTCAAGCAAATTTATGCCAAATAGTGTCTTTAACGGTTAATATGCTTCAATTATGTAAGAAATAAATAAATATTGGTTAAAAGCATCCAAATTATTTCTTTTTATTATGCCAAAATAAAAATATATATTTTTCAATAATTCATAACATCGGTCCGAGAGACCGCACGTGACAAAAAATGACGTCCATACATAAAGGTTAAGAAAAGTTACAGCCTCTATTTATATAGAGGCGGTGTTAGAATATCCACTAGCCCCTACCACCCCGTGGATGAAGACGAGCAGCGTCGTCTACCTAATAACGACTAAAAACAAAAATCTGCAGTTACCAACCCACTTGCCAAGCGTGGCGAAAGGCGACTATGGCAAATAACCTCCTGTGAGGCAATCTAGTGGGGAGGCTTATGTTCGTCAGAGGACTCTAACAGGCTGTAACGGTAACAAGCTTTCACATGATACTACATATTTCTTCTTAACACTTGGACCCTATAACGTATGGAAACGTTTTCGTCTCTCTCGTCTCATTCTCAATGTGGATTTAAAATGAAAGAACTTCTCAACCGTATGTAGTATCAAGAATATTATGTCAAATATTATATATATTGTCAAGAATATTATTATTATTGGGGTATCTATATAGTTTCCTCATCCAGTTGGGTTCTATAAATATATAATTATAAATGAAAATGAAAAGATAAATATACATAAATATCAATAAAGAAAAATAAATTCAAAAATACGTAAATACATAAATAAATAAAAGCCCAACCAAATGGAAGTCCTCGGCAGGGGAGACCAAACGGCCGACGGTTAGGGGGAAAGGTAAAGAAAACGGCGGACGATGCGGGCGGTATCGAATAGCACCGCCTTCTGCATTTTGGCCCGGAGCGGTCCGTTACGAAGTCTCAGTCGCCTCAGATGACCCAAGAGGCTAACTGGGATTAGCCCATTCGCAGAGACGACTACAGGAATAATTTCGGTCGGCAGACCACCCCACATGTCGGTCACCTCGTGAGCCAGGTCCAGATATTTTGTTTTCTTATCTGATTCGTCTTTCACCAGGTTGTCGTCAAATGGAATGGTAATGTCGACCAAAAATATTCTTGACTGACACTCCATATTTGAAAATGAATGAAAATTAATGTCTTTTTTATTTTCGGCAAGCGCAAACGTTATATTTTAAAAATTGGTAAATTTTATATAGCCAGTATTCAAATTTTTTAAATAATAAGGATTTGACAGAACTTATGACCTGACTAAGTATAGGCCAGCCACTCTTCTGATGAAATCAAAATTCATTATATATTTCCAATTATAAAATAAATAAAATTTTGATTTAGAAATATACATTTATAATGGTGAATATGAAGTCCTAGGGCAGAATTTACAAGTAGCGGCTGTGTATGGTTGTAAATTTTTATTAAACTACTAAAAAGTACATGTTTGATAATAACCCCTGGGAATGAAGTTATCGCTACTATGTTGTTCTAAATGTTTTTAATACCTAATTATATAAATTTTTATACATTAATTAATGTTATAAAAACATCCCCCCTGGGTTTCTTACTGATTCTTCCCAGGTCTTATTTTTAAAAAAAAAAGTAAATCTTAAATGTCTTTCAATAAGTATTCTTGTAATCTAAAACTAAAACTAGAAAAGTAGAAAACGACTCGACCGATCTTGATAAAGTCTTTTGTGTGTATTTGAGTGGTTCCTCACGAGATTTAACTTAAATGTCTTTGTGGATGGTTTAAAAATCAATTGGACGCGGTAGGTGGCGCTGTCGTCGAGATCCAAAAATCACCCGTGCGAAACCATTTGCTAGCATTGCTAGTATTGAATAAAAATGATACTATTATATTCTATTATGTTACGATTCTATTATATTCATTACGTCTATATTATGTTTGTTGCACGAAGGGGTTGGTTCGACCGGGGAAAGACCACGCTCTCACAGAATACCAGCGTAAAATAGCAGCTTTATGCTACTGTGTTACGTATGTAATCGAGGCATTCCATTAGCCCTCAGGGGTGACAATGCACCTGCATTTTGAATCTTAACCGAGGTTAAATTTAAATGTGTATGGGCCACAGCATCCACTTACCATCAGGTGCACCGTGTGATCATTTGTCACCCTAATTCTATATAAAAAATATTAATGTTGACTTTACAGCAGTACCGAGCGTCCAAAACTTGCACGTGCTGTTGGAAAATTACAAATCGTACAAAATCGTTTATTGATAAATATTTCTATAAAACCTAATCATTTACTGGGGTGTGGGTTAGGGTTTATTCCCGGGACGAGAATTCCCGGGAAATTGGTCGGTCTCGTACCCGGGAAATTCAGCTCGAGAAAAGTCGAGACATCGAGAAGTTTAAATAAACATTTTTACGCTTAGCTTTCTTTGTAAATGCGAGGCGGCAGCGGCATCCTTTGACAGCACAGCTCGTGTCTGTCGGTATCCTTTGTTTTTGCCGACAAACGCAAGCGCGACGCGGCCCCAGTTGTATTTTGTTCATTCGTGTTTCAACTCCCGCCGTGTTCGACGCACGAGTAATAGAATCGCAGAACAAACAGGTAGGTATTGTTATTATTTATTTAAATAGTTCAAGTGTTTGTTTTGTTTTGTAAGTACTTTTGTATTACCAAAATAATATTTTTCTTTAAAATGAATAGGTATGTTAAAGAAATAAAACTTTTGTTTTTAATCAAATAAGAGAATTGTTAGTGCATAAATATTTACCGATTTCATTAATTGCATTTGTATTGCAGATGTTGTAATAAAATAATCCCACAAAAGCCTAAAGTTCTAAACTAAACACATAATATTAAGAATAAGACGTTGTTTTATGGCAATTTATCTACTACAAATAACACAAAACGTATCCAACCAATCCTACCAAACGTAGTATACAAAAGGACACAGGTGGGCTTAGCTTAAATTGCATCCCAGTTGTTAATGTACTCTTTTTAAGATAAAGCGCTTCTTAGATGCGTTAGTGATATAATATAATCACGCTACTTAGGGAAAAAGATGTTATTTGTAAATGTTAATGTAAAGAAACTGTTAACAGAAACTTCTTGCAATGTTGACATTCATTCAATGTTGAAGTGTATCAACAAAATGTTGTAATCCGACTTGACATATTCCCAAGTATACGAAGTCACGGGCAAAAACAATAGCCTAAAGGTGAACATAGGTTTAATTACGTAGAATTTTATCTAATTATTTCGTTTTCGACTTTTAAACTTAAAGAAAAAAAGTGTGCACATTTTTATAAAAATATTTATTTTAAATAATATCAATACTTATGGTGGACCACGTGGTTGCAAATGATATCAGTAGTTATGGTGAACACTCTTATGTTCAGTCTCGTGCTTCCTATGACCTGCGCTGGAGTGCTCTTCGGAAGATGTCTTCACAACCGTCACTTCGGGTGAGGTGTGCGCGATGATGACAGGAGATGAGTGTGCGTGAGCAGAGATCAGAGGAGAAGAGAGCGAGGTGAGTAGTGGATCATGTGCGCCATAGAGGTAAGGAGAACCGTAAAGGCTTGGAGAATAGTAGGAGCCATACAGAGGAGAATAAAGTGAGCTGGCGCTAAGATAAGGTGAGGCGGCAAGGTAAGGAGAGGAGTAAAGTGAATGTGCGCCCAGTAGAGGTGAGTGCAGAGCGTGCGAGGAGAGCAGCGGCGCCGCGCCGTACGCGCTCAGGTAGGGCGAGGCGAGGACCAGCCCGCGCTTGTCCCGAGTCTCCGCCGCAGCGGCCACGATCACCACTGCCAACACCTGCAATGACAAACATTTCTAATTTATTATAAGATATAATATATTAAATATACCTAATTATTTCTCAAATCCCAAGCCCAAACATATAGCAACAAAACTTCAAGATTCTATTTGCCCATTCTGCGTAGACTGGACAAAAAAAATTAATAACTTTAAACTGAAGGTAGCGGTGGCTAACTAAGATATTGGGATGTCGAACACCTCAATCCCCTCGTGACCTTGGATGTTTTAAAGAACTCGAAACTTTGGGAAAATAATATAAATAAATATACGCCATAAAATCCGTAAAAACAGATTTTATAATCTAAATATACCTACTATGTAGTGGCGACGTAAGCATACCCAATAGATATCCCGTATCGTCCGCAGGTGTCGTAAGAGGCGACAGAGGGACAAAAACCAGGAGACGGGTAGAAGCATGTTCATAATAACAACTAAAAAAACTGTGATTGCTAGCCTATATTTGGCAGATGACATTTGATTAGCTATAATTTCATACTCCGCAAATTTTCTACTAAGTCCAAATGTAATTAAGGCAAAGAATTATCGTTCAACAATGACAATTTTGGGCGTGAATTTCTATTCAAGGTCCTCAAGACTTACGTCGCCATAATATGAAGCCTGTTGCAACTATTGAATAGTGATGAGGCCTTCAACACTAACTAAAACATCCAAATTTACATTTATAAAAACGTAAGATTCGATTGCTCTCTACTGTGACAATGCATTAAATTGAATTAAATAAATTTTACTGATTTTATCTTGTTTTAATTTAACTTGTTTTTAATTCCCTACTTTTCCGATGTTTTACAGCACCAATTGTCGCAGGGTGACTGAGGTGTTTGACGTCTCGATGCCATAGTTGATCCGGCTGTGTTCAAATGTTTGGATTTAATTTTGTTAATTATAGAATACCAAGCAGATTAATTATAGCAGTGACCCATATTTTTTGTAAAAATATAGATGTTTTTTAAACGCGATAAATTTTATTTTTTTCAATGTCTAGTATTTGTTAAAACATATTAAGAAGTTATTAAATGCATTAGATGTTTAAAATAGTGAAGTTACACAGGCGTTTTCACATTTCTTAAAGGGTTATGGAGTAACAAGTCTGGTGCGCTGCAGAGGGCGTATTGACATATTTCATATGTCTAAAATATTTTATTTCCTTGACATGTAGGATCATGACATTTTATTTATCTCCAAGCACGTGGCAAGGCTCAAAATTACAATCGATGATGTCATTGATGGCGGTGGAGATCGAACTTTCTTTCCTTTCGGGTGTCGGTTCTTCAAGGTAAATAATCGGACCATTGCCAGATCAGTTAGGGCTATGTCGATCGGTTGGCAGATAACCCCATTACGATGAGCAGTCTATCACGCAGAGTTACTCCAAGCATAGCATCTCTATAGCTTGCTGAATGACCTTGCTCTTCCTCATAAGACCATATGGTAAGAACTATTTCAAATCCATTTGTCAACACTAACAGCAAGCACTGGCTGTCCACAATTGTTCTCAAGTTTCGAGATATACGTGACGAGAAAAATGTGTCGTAATCTCAAGAACACAACGTAGCCGACCTCTCAATCGCAGTTGGACTTAGCTAGCTGGACAATTTGTCCTACGCGTCAACCACATTGAACAAAATTCTCCCAAAAACTAATATAGTTTTACTAACTAATATAGTTACTTACGACTTTCGACACGTCATTCGATTTCATTCATCAAATAGTGAATTTAGAAGCGTTATTAGGTATTTAGTAACTATTTATATTAATAAAATAAAAAATAAAACTTACGCTCACAAAGATGTTCATGATGTCAGTGCAGTGTGTCAACAGGTGTTGATTGAGAAATGAGTTGTGATGTCAAAATTTTCATTTCGGTGGCATTTATACACAGTTAAGAAGATTTATTCAAAAATACACGAGGGTTGTGCAACTTGTGAGTGGTTCACAAGTGCAAGGTTAGCTCACCATTTTAAAATCCAACTCAAAATTTTAATAAATCTCTCAAGCTGTCTCTCGTATTCGACCACACTGGGTCCTTGAAGAGGTTTTGAGCCGATGCCTGGTTTACATTCCTGTCAATCATACTTTTTATGAAATAAACATTATTTTAAGAAAAAATGGTGACAAGTGAGCTCTCAGTCCACTTGATGGTAAGTGAACGCTCTCAACAGAGACTAGCTATCTGCGCAGGACAGGATTGGTGCCCAAATGTATGCGCTAGCACAGGTGCACTCTCTACTCCCTCATTCACATATTCCGAAGGGACGATAAGCCGACACGACCGGAGGGAAATCAGGCTCAGGACCAACGACTATACTTGCTTTCTGAGGCACGGGGTGAAATACCTAATAACTGATTTTGGACCGACATTGTAGGATATAGATAGGATAGATATATTATAGGGTGAGAAACGAGCGCACAGTCCACCTGATGGTAAGTGGTTGCTGTGGCCCATAGACAATCTATATCTATCCTCGATTACGAATATGGGACCACCCCTGAAGTATTATGCATGTTGGCATATTGAACTGGAGTGTAGTGTGCAGGCATTGTTTAACAGTATCCAATCACAAAGAGCCAAAGCCCAGAGAAGTCGTCGCCAAGAGAGTATTCACAAAGTCCAATAGAAAGCCGAGTCAGATAGTACTAAAACACTGACGAGAACAGGAAAACAGGAGAAACGTGCGCCACAAACAAAGTAGGGCAAAGTAGTGACTATTTATTTATTTGTTTGATTTAGTTGTTGAAAATAAAGGATACGGGCGAGGTCAGGAAACGGCTCTTACCTACCTGAGCTGTGCATAGTTCTGGTTATTTTCCTATGTTCTGTCTCGTTTACACCTACGTGTAAGTGCAAGTACAAGAATTAATTCTATGCGTCATTGCAACTAAAGCTGAAAACCTAAAACTAAAGATGACGCATACAATTGTATGGTATAGCAATTTTGAATGTGTTTTGTTCAATACCAAAGTTGGATAAAAAAATGAACTACTTTTTACTTTTATACGGATATTAGGTCTGAAATCTACCAAATCAGGGTGAAAACAAATAATTTTTCTTTACATTAATTGAACGGACGAATCATTTAAAAAATATATCTAATTGATTAATTTGCACACAATCTACCCTCCGCGAGAAAAATATTATAGCACAAACCATTGTAACAACAGTACCAAGTATTAAACTATTTTGAAATCTAAATAAATTGCGCCAACTTTTGAATACATTTACTAGGTCCATATAGTTAATTTTTTTTACATGATGAAGGGTCAAATTTGCTCGATAAAACTTTAATGTTACATTTTTACACGTTAACGAATTTTTACGTATTTATTTCTACCAAACCGTAATAGGTACTGAAAAATAAAATAAAAAGTAGAGTAGGCATATTATTACACTATACAAACAGAAAAAAAAATTAAATCGGTCTTCATTTGCAACTGCAGCATCAAAAATATTGAAGCAAAGGTTGATTTTCTGGAAAAATGAGATTTTATCTATTACCACGCAACCTGGGTATAGTATATAAATTTTTCGAACAGTCCTTCCATGGTCTACAACCCCTTTTACATTTACATTCTGGGACACCATGTATATGTAATATGCATGTTCACACAGGAAAACAACTTACTTTCTAGTAAAATCGTACCGTCCGACTCAAGAAACGAAGGTTACGTCAAAATTCCGAATTTTTCAAAATCGCATCGTTACCTAAATTTTATACTGAAAAATTAAAGATTTTGAAAATGGAAGCTGATTCAAACTAATCTGGTGTTCAAGATATTAATTTGAAAATGGGTTGGAAATTACACCAGCACCCAACGATCAGCGGCTATCGTCGACGGCCAATTTTTTTCTGATCTCTTATGTTGCATCCTTTTGCATTTTCTGTCGCATTTACCAGGAGGAGGGTATAGGGATTTGTTAGGATTAATTCCAGTCGCCAAATTTCATCAACACACATCGCGACAAAACTCAAGATACCATCCATATTATCTGAATGCTTGGCGGTCCACAACTATGCGATTTAACAGAGTTTTTTTTCTCGCACGACTTCTTTTGCGATTTTTCCGGACCGATACGACTTGGAGATCTTCAAGAAACGAACTTACTCTTCTTTCAAAAAATCCTCAAAATTTTTGAGATATTTTGGCATGTTAATCAACTGTTTTGATTATTTTTACCCCAATTATATCTGAACAGCACGATAAACTAAAGTTAAAAATACAAAGATAATGTACAAACAGCGCTAGCCTTAATCAAATCGGCTGAACTTATCGGGCAACAGGCATCGCGCGTTCCGCCGCTAATTCAATGTACACAATCGTCACTCCATCTAGTGGGTTGTCGCCCTTCACTTCTCCTACCGGTACGGGGCTGACATTGGAGAACTTTTCTTCCCCATCGTTTATCGATTCTTCGAGCTATATGGCTGGCATATTGCCACTTCAGCTCACTAATCGACTAGATGGAGTGACGACTTGGTAAAATATGCAGGAAATCGATGGATGCAGGTGGCTCAGGAGCGTGCTTTATTGTAACATTCCTTAGGGGAGGCCTCTATTCAGCAGTGGACTTGTAAATAGATAATCGACTATAATAGTATAATATTGCCGCGAGTTAGTTCATCACAAGTGCAATTCGTAAGTCTCACAATCCCACTAGTGCCCATTAATTTTATTGAACCAAACAACGGTCACATAGACTTCTCCAAGTAAGTAGTAGTGATCACATAAGACATATCGCACCAAAATGATGCTTCTTATCTCTTATCGTTTTTTGTTTACAGATTTTTTACAGATGCGTCATAGCTCCAGGAAATAGTGCCTGCCTTAAAATTCAAAGTATGCGAGCAACGTAGCGAGTTCGATTATCAATATCACCGATTAAATTGATTGCAATTTTAAGTGCTGATTTAAAGTGTTTATTTTTTTATGGAAGAGGGGCAAACGGGCATACGGTTCCCCTGATGTTAGGTGACTATCACCGCCCATGAACATCCGTAACACCAGAGGGATTGCAGGTGCGTTGCCGGCCCTTTAGAAAGGAGTAAGCTCTTTTCTTGAAGTTCCCCAGGTCGTATCGGTCCGGAAAAATCGCCGGTGGTAAACTATTCCACAGAGAGGTCGTACTCGAAAGAAAACTCCTAGTGAAACGTGACGTAATGGACCGCCAAGTATCCAGAAGGATGGTATCGGTAGGTTTGCCGCGTAGTGCGTTCATGAAATTGGGCGGCTGGGATTAATCCAAAGAATTCCTCAGAGCACTCCCCGTGATAGATGCGACAACACATCTCACAACATATCTTCGCAGGTCGTCGACGATTCGAGCCACTCTATGCTGGATGCGGTCAAGTGGAAGGAGCTGGCACTGGGGAGCCCCAGCCCACAGATGAAAACAAAGATATTCTTATACTACTGTACACATATAACTAAAATGAAGTTGTTTTCAAAAGCAAGAGTGAATATGCTTTTGTCAAGATGAGTCATTGCATTATACCATCTTCGGGTACATCAGCACTCATCAGGTGAGTTTGTTGTTAATAACTGACTTGCAAAACTACATGAGATTTTTTAAAACTATTTTTTAAAAAGGCAAGCAGTTCAAAACCAACCAAATTAAAGAAAACTGCAGGTGCGTTGTTTCCTTTATGTATTAACATCGAATACCTCATGACCTTAAATTATACCAGCTTTCAAAACCTTTCAAACCGAACATCTTGCCCTTATTCTTTTAAAACGTTACCTCCACACTAGGATTTTCTCCTTTATCATGGCGACAGTTTAAATACATAAAATGCACAAGTACAAACATCCAGGCCTGAAATAATTATTTGTAGGCTGTAGAAATACTTGTGACGCGCGGGATTCAAAACCACGGCCCCTTGCGCTGCAACTAATTTCTTAGTCAGTACGGAGCCGTCAAACTGCTTTTTATTTTAAATGTTTTTTATAGTACAAGGGTGACAAGCAAGCACATAATCCACCTCATGATAAGTGTACATTGTGACCCATGGACAACTACATCTACCCTCAACCCAAAATCAAAATTCGGACGCCTTATCGTCCTTAAGGACAATAAAGTCGTCAGTTCTACACTTTTACTCTTATACTTTTATTGTTATTACTTTACTTTTACTTTTACTTAATATAGCTGCGCTGTAACTCTACCACGCAGAAAGTAAAAGTCACGTTTAGCAAGAGAAGTAGGTAACTACTTTTACAGATAACCAGCGTAAAGTTTCAGCTTCTACAATCACCATACGAAACACACTACATTACTGTGTTTCGTATGGTGATTGTAGATAATCAGAGACCTTTTTACTGGAAACGATTATATTATCTTCGTTCTGAGGAGTGACAATGCACCAATATTTTGATTCTTAATTGACGCTAAATGTAGACGTCTATGGGCCACTCCACTTACCATCAGTTGGACTGTGTGTTCGTTTGTCACCCTTATCCTTTAAAAAAATATTAAATAAAATATATTTCATATTATTGCGGTTGTAAGATCCATAAAAGCCTAAATGACGAGCACCTTATTATTGCGTAACAATGAGATGTTTATGCTTAATCGCGTCGACCTCGAAATGCTAACGAATGGGTCACCTTTAAATTATAAGCGAATGCCGGTTCTCATAAATTAACCTCCATATTACCATTGCCAGCGCATTTATTATAAAAAAAACGATTTCATTTTTTTACTTTAGAGATAATATCAATGATTGAGCTAAGACGCTCAAAAATTGTAGCAAAACATTATGGATGCTTCTTGCATGAAAATGCTTAAAGCTACTGCTCTC